GCTTGGCAATCCAGTGAATCATCAATCAATAGACACATCGAGATTGACAAAATTTATCAACCGATAAGAAAGAAACGTCACACACAAAGGGTCAAAGTTCAAGTCAAAGAAACAATCAGTTCCAATACAAGTAGCCTAGAAGGTGTGAAAACACACAAAAACAACCAATCACGTCCAAGGTCACCGGGAGAGATGATTAATAAACTCGTGGAGAAATCTAAAAGCTCACTTCAAATTGAAGTATGCGCTGAAGATGTCACCTAGTAGGGTGATGAAAGCTTCGCAAATTAACTATCCAGCTCAGAGAACACAACCACACCAAAATCATCCACCTGAGCTACAAATCTTCTCTATCATATCTACATATTACTGTTGAGTTACATTCAAATATATATAAGCTTACTAACGCTAACTGGATAGTGTTGTTTCGACAGAATTTTAATTTCGACAGTTCTACTCCCCTGTACATAGTGGAAATCTGCTTAACTTTCAGTATAAACATTTATTTCTCTGCTATTTAAAAGACAGAGAAAGGCGACAAGACACAACTAGATAACCAGTAATCTCTAGCAAATATCAATGCACAGTAAAATTAGCTTTCATAATCTAAGCTAATTTCTGAGTGGTTGTTGCTATTTATTCTGCTGAAGTTTCTCTTACATAACTTTGGCGTTTGTATAGTCTTCTATTTCGCATGATATATTTCATATAACTTAGATGTTATGACAGAATTTACTATTGAAGTGTTTCTTTGTAACAGTTTGCTTGATGAGTAGAAACTTTAACTATGCTCTTCCATCTCTTGCATTGTCAGTGGGAAATACGGCTTCAGGACTGGACTACACTGACTCCTAGCTTAGAAATAGGGAGTGAAGTGGTAGAGCACGTTGACCACTTTACTTATTTGGGAAGTTGCATCAGCCCCAGCGGGTTGATCTCTGACGAAATCTCAGCACGAATACAGAGGGCTAGTTTCGCATATGCCAGTTTACGCCGTCTCTGGCGTAGACGTGATATCCAGCTATCGACCAAAGGGCGGGTGTACTGCTCAGCAGTCCGCTCTGTCCTCCTTTATGGCTGTGAGACCTGGCCATTGAGAGTGGAAGACATGAAAAGACTAGCTGTCTTTGATCATAGGTGCTTGCGTTCTATCTCTCGTGTGAAGTGGTATAATAGGGTGAGCAATATTTAGGTTAGGTATCGGTCGAGTGCTAGGTAAGGAGGGGAAATCAATCGACAAGGCTGTGAAATTACATCGACTGAGATGGTTAGGTCATGTGTTACGTATGCTTAGTCAACGCCTTCTTCGATGGGTAGTGTTAGCTGACTGACATAGGATCAGGTTGGAGAAGAGTTAGCTGGTGGTTGTCAAACCAAAACATGGCTTCATCAGTCAGTGAAATCCATAACAGTTAGTTTAAGCCCATCAAGTAGGGAGGTGTAGACTTCTTGACTGACTGGTTGTGGTCCTCGGGACGGTAAAAACCAATGGCTGGAGACAATCGGTGACATGGCTCAAAATCGTTCTCAATGGCGCAGGTGCATTCACTCCTTGTGACTTATAATACCCAATGAAACTATATTGTTCTTCGTTATTACTATTCCTTTTGTCTCATATCCCTGTATACTGTCTCTATTTTGCATTTCTTTTAATTTCTTCTCTTGCTTTGTGTGCTACATGGAGTGTGGCGACTTGAACTGCTGCATATCGGTACAAAGTTTTATGTCGAAAACGGATATTACTGTACAACACTGTGTGATTTTTTAAAATAAAATCTTATCCATAATGGAATTATCCAATACAGTCCTACAGAAGATCAATTGCGAGTCTGGATAGCCTATTATCAACGTCTCTGATTGCAGCACTGGGTGATGTGGGTCTGAATCTGAGAAGGGACATGAGTTCTTTCAGGGTTGCAGATACGCCTTACTGACTGGTGAGTGCCAACTAGCACGAAACCTAGGTCCAAGGCTTCCTGGAGGCCGATTGCCTCCAACTGTCTAATAAATATGCATATATATTCATATGAATGCCATAAGTGGGTTACTGATTCACTTATTTAAGGTAATTGGAAGCAACATATAATTTATACAAAGCTGATATTTTGGTTTTTTTTTGAAAATTTAACATTTGAATTCTTAATTATTTCAAGAGAAAGATTAAAACAAAATAAACAGACAGAATTCAAGGATTCAATCGTTTCTATTTCTACTTTTCATGTCATTCATAATTAATTTTGTTTAGTCTTTCACATCTTTTTAGTTGGTTAATGATGCAGTTCCGGTTGAATTTTAATATATATATGCTATTATTAAGCATACACTTAAACATAATAATAATAACAAAATTGAAAACATTGAATATATATATATATTTGCCGAAATACCGGCAATTGTATGACATGTACATTATGATGAATGAAATAACTGACGGAGTTGTATTCAGCTGTTGGGTTTTATGGAAAAAGACGAGCTTTATGGTAGTTATTATCATGACATACAGTTGATTATAAAATTATTGATGATTGAGGAGAGTTGGAAAGTTATTTCTTGTACTTAGAATGAAAATTTTCTGGAAATCACTTCTGAGCAAGTTTATCACACTTATGTTACACATCTCCCCCCTTCCCACTTATTATTCAACAACAGACCGCTATACCTTTTGGTAGGCTGTGAAAATAGCTTTCTCAGTGACGAAACTCTTCCGAGTGCAATACAGGATTTCAGAAGCACATTTCTATTGCACTTGGTTCTTGAACACCACTTTCAACTAGATGCACTACTGATTTGATGACCTCCTACATGTCACTTTCGAATATCCAGTCCGTCGCTTGCTATTCGAAGTTCACTTGATAACTTGGTGGGTGATATCACTTGAAAGTTTCTTCAGATTGTGTTCAATCCATCTTCATTTCCTTCTGAATGCTTGTTAGGTAACGGCCACTTGATTGGTTCGCTACCTTCCAGAGACCATCATCTGTTATCCTTTGAATCTGGCCATCTAATCTCCAGTATTGGGTGAAGGCGATTGCTGATGAAAGTCTTCAGTAGCCCGTTAAAAGTACATTTAGTGACGCGCGAGGCAGGTTTCTAAGTAGTGATAGATAGATGAATATATCTAGCAAACTTTAAACTTTGATAGTCAATCCACATAATGACACGGTTAACCTAGGTTTCACATCTAACATCGCTAATTAAGCAGAATCGTCTATGACTTTCTTTGATCAACACTCTGAGACTATGACTTCATCATTTTACATTACAGCAGGTTAACGGCAAATCTTAAAACACGATCAAATGACTTTAAAACAAGTACATCTTTAAATTAAAAAAAATCAAATAAATTCTCATTTTCAACCAAATAATCGAAATTGTTTCTTTCCTGATACGAATTTCCAACAAGCAACAAGAATTAATTAAGTAGGATTTAAGGAATTCATCAAATTTTGATAGAACTCTTCAGCTGGACACTGTACTTACAAGGATATAAAATTAGGTTTCAAATGCATTTCGGTTCGATTACTTCACTGAAATAAGCAATTTATTAGTCATCAGAAAGTGAAAGAACGTGAATATATTAAGAATTTTTTTTCCTTCACGTTCCCCAGTGGAACATAAGGCTTCAAGCTAAGGGCTTAAAGTTTCTGTAGCAGTTTTTATTTCATAGGATGGGGTTGCTAGCCCCATGCACAACCTTTCCTCTTCACTAGAATTATTTCTGGTTTAGCGAGGTAAAGGAGTGCGTCGGCCGGGGATCGAACCCCGGACCATGTGCATGGTCAGCGAGCGTTCTAACCGCTATGCCACCGACGCACATATTAAGAATTGCGACCTAAATAATATTAATAAAAGTAGGGCTAGTTATAGTAACAATAATAATGTTAAGATGAGTTTAGAAAATGGTAATGATGAAAGATAGTTTTAAGTGAATCAGAAATAGTAATGAAGTAGAATAAAATATTAATAATAGTAATAATAACAGTTAATAAGTAAGATATATTACCATGGTAGATTCAGAGTGACCACTATTTCCTTCTGTATACAGAGACCGAGATTATAAACTTGAATTGCACAAGCCTCTGCGATTGCAAGGAACTTCATGTTTGTTTGTCTGCTAACAACACTGAATGACTTGGCGGAGTTAATGTCATATCTGTAGTCTACAAGACGCTTTGTTACTGAACTTTAAGGTACTTTGACTTCAGCTACTTTCAGCCACATACTATTAGACAAGCGCCGTACTATACGATCTATGTGTCTGCTTCCACAAACACACTCAGATTAATATAGGCAGTTTTCACTTCAAGAATTAGCGATTGATCTCTTCCTGATTGTTGAAATACCCACTTGATGCCATTGTTGCCTATTTTAAACTAGATAATCGTTGAAAATTATATCTCGAGCTACCATCCTGATATTCTGAAATTACAAAAAGAATGTTTGGAAAAGAATTTACGACCATGTTTATATATTTAATGTTACAGGGTAGACTTATGGGGCTCACTAACCTCGTAATCTGCTTCACATATTTGGACTTAAGTAATTGGTTACTGTTATGAGGCCTAGTTTACTAATTACATAGTTTAATAGCCTCTCCTGATCTTGGAATGAGAGGAAAGGTCGAGAGTGGCGCTAACGACCTTATCCTAGAAAATCAACTCAGTCGCTTGAACAACTCTGAAGTATGGAGGAAAAATTAAAATTATTTTCCGCTGAAATAGTGGAATGAGGAGAGTTTATGTCAGCTGGTGAAAACATTCAGGAAACCGGTCGGTTGTCGTCTTGAATCGCTACGTATCACTCAAAATACAAGCGTCGAATAAACAACAATAGTGTCCTTAGTCCATACGAATTAAATCTGATCCAGCAGGGCCTATTCACTATTGTAATTACAAGTCTAGTATTTTATCCAGTTTTTTTTTTCACTTTTTCGAGTATATATTTCAATCAGCTTTAACCAACCATTCATTTGATTCTTTTCTCTTGCTTTGGAATTTCAGTCGTCGAGATACTCTATTTCAAAATTTTTGGATTCGTGTTGCTCTACTGGAAAAAGTTTTAGACAAAATTGTATATTTTTTAACAATAAATTCATCGTAAGTTGATAGATAATTTTGTTGATTTTTCTTTTTACTTTTCTTTTGTTTTTTTCGAATGTGCAAATGTATGATTAATGATTGCCTAATGAGATATTTATCATTTGATTGCCTTTTTTGTTGTTGATAAATTACACTTGTACTGTGTTATTACTTGATAAATGAAGCCTAACTGTCGTGTTTCACTGGACTGTATCACAGAAACAGAGCATTTCCTGACGAGTAGTTGGGTACCACTTTGATCTGTCTAACAGGCACTACTGGTTAATAGGCCTGGTATCCGACTACTCATGTCAGCCAATCAGTAGTATATAGCATCATGCATTTATACTTGCTTTCTGATTGCAGTTTGTGGTATCAAGCGGATCACATTTATGGTGTAATCTAAATAATGTCGATTTTCAATGGGAACTGTAGTGAAATTTAATCTCGGACTGTAGAAATTGAAAATTGAGAATTCGATCCAATGAACTATCAGTTCTCTCGAATAAATATGTGGAATTCCGGTGGTTTAAGCTGATTCGGCTTTCTGAGCTGGTGAGTTTGGCATCAGGTGTTCGAATCGGCTGTCCGGCGCTTAGATCACCTCGACCAATAGGTGACTGTTTTAGCCTAGTGGATAAAGCTTTGGCGTTTTGAAATGATGGATGTTGGCTCTCAGTTTCATTCAATAAGAATGCATCTGCATCCGGATGACGAGTCCCAAATAGGATGAAATGAGCATCCTGGCTCGCATCGCTATCCACCAATAACCAGACGCCATTATACAGCATATATTTTCAGCTCACCATGTAACGTTTATGTTACACAATTCTTGTTCAACATTTCAATGCCGTAAATATTCACTGACGAACGTTTCGTAGCTAAACTAGTAAGGTTAGTCAGTGTCATTTTCTTTTTTTTGAAAACTTAATTAAAAAACAGAAATGTATCCTTACATATTTATCATAGAAGACCGATTATTATTCATTTTTCAAAAACCTTTTACAAAATCCTTTATGAGAAAATTAATTCCAAAAATAGCATATTTTCAGTTCAATAAAAACAAAAAGTTTTACTTTTTTTCATATATATATATATTGTTTTGTTTTTAGCGATTTTTTATTTCTTGTCTAAACTTGTTTGAGTGACTGTATTTGCGGTTCTGTTTCATGCATGAGTCTGCGTGTGTGTGTGTGTGTGTTTGCAGTCACGTTATGTTGAAATCTACTATTTTTTTATATGCACATTTGTAGAAATCAATACTTATTATCACATCTTATTATTATCATTGTGTATAACTTTAAATTTTGATTAGTGTATTGGGTTTTTGTTTTCTAAGTGATTTGACACTAAAGCATATGCAGTTGGGAGGTCCATTGACACTGTTTTGATCCCTTTGATTGTAGCTGTTTATTCATGTCGATTACGCAAGCTAAGTTGTTCAACACTCTACTATACACTGTGTGGTACACTTCCGTTTTCAGTGTTAGGAATTATAGAAGTCAGCAGACACGGAAATATATTTGACTAAGGTTGCTTTTTGTGTGTTATTCTTTTGATCAAGACTTTTTCTTAATCTAGGTAAGACAAGGACAGAGAGAGGGGGACAGACTGAGGCTTCATTAGAGATTCTAATCTCTAATAGTTGTTGCTTGAAGCCTATACTCTTCTCAGTATCTTCACCAAGATAGAATACATTACTGTCAATCACTGATCAGTTGGAGGAGACTACGAGCCGCGCTAGACACTTTAATACCTAAGCTGTCTGCAACTGATGTGCCAATTGCCACGAAATCCTTCCAAGTGGGGACAACTGTGTTTACTAGAGACTACAGAAAAGAGGACAAAGTAGATGGGTAGAAGGGCTGATTGACAACAGTTGTTGTAATGTTATGGTTGATGCTGAAGTTGGAACAGAGACGTTGATACGACACAATAAATAGAACAACCCAGGGGTCTCCCACAAGCCAACGTTGGTCAGTCAATCTTAGGAAGCAAACGGTGCGCTTCCAAGTTGACCCTGGGTAATTCCCTAACAGAAGGGTGAAGTGATATTTGGATCTGTATTTAGCCTACCAGTTGATTTGTTCTTTTTCAAAGAATGCCTGCTGTATGATATGGGATCGATGTGTAGACTGTCCTTTTTAAATCACGTCATCACTATTATTATATAATATTATTATGTACTAGTTGATATGCTGGTGAGTCGTGTGTTCTCTCTGAATGTGTGATTACTGTGGCCATACAGGTCGTGCGATTCATTAACAAACAAGTAAACTAGAGCAAACATGAAACGAATGAACACTATTTTATAATAAGGGACGCTGTATACTCTGTTTGCATTCTCATGTCTTATTTCTCATGACGGAGCTCATTAAACTCTACTGCAGGGTGAACTTTTTAACGACGTAACTTACTGTTCTCGTTCAAATTAGTATTGATAATCATAAAGTTAGAACTAAAGTCCAAGATATATGTTGAAGTTATATCCACTATCAACTATTTCGTCTCAATATCCACCCGGATCACCCACCATACAATAGATGTTTGCTTATAAATTACTAAATATTTTTAGGACAGACTATTTTAACTCGTCGGTAAACTACGTAAAAGCATGTTGTGTATTTCAGTTTTAACAAAATAAAGAACATTAAAATAAAAATGCACTGAATATAACGTCTAGGCTGATAGCGAATACATTGTCTCCCACAGAGACTTAAATCTGAAAACCAGAAAAAAGCAGTTAAAATTTTTCCAATAAAAACCGTAAATCTTAAAGTTGAGTTTATCCAGATCCAATTAGTTTAAAACTAGATCTCATTATCATTAGCTAACATAAGTTAGAAAAAAACACTGAAAATCAATAATACTGAACACCTTACTTTGGTGGAGCTGTTTAGCTGTGAATACGCATTGACTACTGTTATTTACTGGATGGTGATTGACAGTGGAATCCAGAATGCGCATTTCGTCCTGTTTAGGACTCACCAGGTGAATGTTACTGCGATCTCCAGTGAGTGATGGATGACTTCCCCACTGAACCTCTTGAATACAGTATCAATCATTTTAAAAGCCAATGCAATATCCACTAGGTTGCTGGACCACATGAACTACACGTTGCACAATGGCTGTCAGTTATTATTTACGTTTAATTCAGCTTTGATTTTACCGTTGATGGATTGTACCAAAATGTTTGGCATCTGCTGATACGTCTCATGGGGAACACCATCACTGCCTGAGGAGTGCATCCAGATGATGAGTCCTATATAGGAAGAAATGTGCATCTTTGAATCCACTGCTAGTCAGCGACTGCATTTTGTTAGAAGGTTGGTGGCAATCGTCATGACATCATGAACCTAGATTTAGTGCCTATTAGAACTTTTCCCCTTTAAGATTCGAAACCACGTCACCTAATTATATTAACAGTTATCCCGGTTCATCTCTTTGTAGGACTGCAATGTTTATATTAATTGATCACTGGCGAGTAACTAGTGTCATATAATTTGTCCTCAATAGTAATGACTGAATTCATCCAGTCAGTTTGCAGTGTGACTACGAATCACTGTCGTGATGCATTTTTTGAATCATTAATAAAATACTGGTGGGGTGTTTATTTCCTTCAAGTTTGAAGATACACCTTGCACACACTTACCTATAAGGATAAAATTTGGGCCTACGGATTTCTGTCGATTGTCTAGTGCGTAGTGAATCAGGTTGACCTCTGTTAATACAGCACATTATAAGTCTTCATATACGGTTAGACTACCTCACTTCCTCATGAAAAACTATTGCACTAATAATATAATATTGACGATACTGTTTAACGTGAAATAGAAAAGTTCATTGGCTATAGAAGCTTCACTTTTGAGAATATTTTCAATTGAACATAAATTAAGGCTTACTTATATGCGATAGTAATATTTTAAAGGTATACTTTATGTTGGTGGAGGGTGAGGGATCCAGGATACACATTTCGTCCTATTTGGGACTCGTTACTGGATGTACCTGCATCCCCCAGTAAGTGATGATGTTCCCTCCGAAGCTCGAACCTAGTGCCCATAGATTCAAGCGCCAAAGCGTTATCCGCTAGGCCACTTGGACCACGACAGCTACCTCTTGTGCAATGGGTCATATTAGTCATTTAATTGAATTTTAGATTTTCCCGTCGATTGATTTGACCGAAGTGCTTGGTCTCAGGTTGATATGTCGGCTGGTACATCCAGACGACAAGTCCCAAATAGGATGAAATGCGCATCCTGGATTTCACTGCTAGTCACCACCCACCAATTAACTTCTAATTACACACTCAGATATCGTCGAAGCACCTGCACAAGAAGCCGACATATCAACCTGAGACAGAGCACTTCGGTCCAATCAATCGACTGGGAAATCTAAAATTCGATTATACTATATGTTGTTAATATTAAATGTGAAATCATTGTATCCTTTTTCAAACTGTTTGAAAGAAGCTTTGGTATCAAATAATTATCCTATAAAATTCATTAGGAAGATTGAAAAAGGCCAAAAGCAAAATAAAAATAATTGTGAAACTAGTAATGATAACATAAAAAAGAGAGAATATAAGGCATCTACAGTTTTACCATATAAGGAGGGGACATCTGAGACCAACCGCTACGTAGGATTCTAAATAAAGCAGGATTTAGGGTGGCATTCAAACCTACAAACTCACTCAGATAGGACAAGCTCTGTAGGTTAAAGGACCCTGTTTACCCAATTAGACAAAATAATATAATTTACAAAATACCTTGCAATGACTGTGAGGTCAACTACATAGGTCAGACTAATAGGTCGACAGTAGTCAGATTGTCAGAACATAAGAATTTAGCTGAGGTAAGAATGGTTGACACCGAGAAGATAAGTGATTTAGAAAAAAGCTCAGCGATTGCACTACATGCATTAACACACAACCGCACAACAGGGGGGGGGTAGGTAGGTGGAGAGCGAGAGAGGTTGATTATTGAATCTTTGTTCATAGAATCTAAACCCAACAAGTGCAA